TCTGTGATTCTGTGATTCTGTGATTTAGAAGTCAAGTTAAGCCATCTCCCGTTTTCTCTGTGAAGTGATATGGATACTGTTACCTCAAAGTAGCCAACACACGGAAAATTTATACTTTGGTTTATATTGCAATGACTTATCCAGTTATACATATCTTCAGACATAGTAATACATTTTCTTCCTGAAAGGCAAGTAATTGGTTTTCTATTTCCAAGAAGCTAGGATCATTCTTTATTTAAATTATTTTTTTTTAAAAAAGCATACTTTAAAGCCTGATTCTCCTCTACAGCCTGTAATAAATAAGAGGAAAGGAAGTCTTTGCAATTATATTTAATCTCTGAAGAGGTTTTAGATATAGCTTGTATGAAAGATGTCATGCAATTAAAAAAATACTTTATCAGCATTGCATTGATTATAGGATTATCATGTATTCCTTGCTAACCCGATTACTCTGTGACAGTTAGCAATGTAAACTATAAAAGAGAACCAGGAGAAACTGAGACTTAGGAAAAGATTTCTCCCATTTATTCAAAGTTGTCCAAACCTTAATGACAGCAGTCCACATATTCTAAAAAGAAACTGCAAAGTTTTTTCACCCCATTAGATATTAAGCAAGTCATTGAACACTGTTCCTGTATCCAAAATTTTCTACAGTTCAATTAAAGAGAGAACATTTTCATGACATCAGATGAACTCTGTTAAGATCTGTATCTAATTGCTTTTTAAACAGAGATATAGAGGCATTGGGCAATATGAATGCTAATTCCCTAGGGCTAAAATTACATTACAAGACTATAAATGATTGTTTTTACAGACTGAACATTCCAACCTTTTGTGCTGGGCCACACTTTGAGCACTGGCATAATGGATGGCAGAAGTCTGGTTTTGATGTACTGACTGTGTCGTCCTCATCTTCTAAGTCCTCTTCCATCCATTCCAAGAGATAACGTACCTGGCACAGAAAACAAGTCTTCCTTTATAGAAAGCAAAGGTTCCGTGTCCTAATAAATTTGCATATGTAGACAAGTAAGATTTCACAAACACACATTTGTGAATATCTCAGGGAGACTATGCAGCTACCTCCTGGCATCAGCTGCCCACAGGCCAAATTAAAAAATCAAATGTTATTGTTGACCAAGCAGCTAGGAAAAGTTCAGCCAGTATAGCAGTGAAATAAATTATAAATGACTTCCTGCTGCCTGATCAGGACTTCAGTGATCACCTATTCTCAAACCCTCTTAGCTCAGATGATTTGTGCCAGCTCACATAAATGCAAATTTTGTTTCATCTTTTGCTTTAACAAACATAAGAAGTGACAAGGATGACAACATTTAACTGATATCCAAAACTCTGCAGGGGCACTGACTTTTTTTAGGTCTGTTGCTTCCCAGGAGCTTGACAGTTTCACTTTTTCCTCAATGTGCAATGCCTCATTTTTGAGGAAGAGAGAGGCTCTCCAATGAAGCCAGTCTGAGCACTAAGAGCATCCACATGCAATTTGTCAACAGTGATGCTTACTGCATGTTAATTTTACATTAAATTTTATGCAACAAAAGAAAGCTGTTTAAGAAATACATTTTTAACCTTGAAATTCAATAATCCACTGTAAACCAAAGACATCTTAGAATTAGTAGTGGCTGTATTAAGCCTCCATTATTACACCATCTGGCAATGTTAAGCCTGATGTCTCTGTAGTGCATCACTCTGCGTTTCTATTCTGCTCAGAGACAAGTCTTGCAGAAACTCAAGACAGAAGTGGGAATCGGTCTCATAATACAGGGGACAATACATTAACAGTCAGCTTTTTTTAGGTGCATAGAAAGGGCTAACATCACAGCACTCAAAAGCCAAGACACAAGGAAGATCAGGGCACTTGCATGTGGAGGCTGGATCTCCCGGAGCTCCTGCAGATTTTCTGGGACTTCCCAGACACAGCAAGTTACAGGATTACATAGTGGGTATGAAGCCTGTCATCTGCGGGAGGGTTTTCCTTTTACTTTTTTTAGCAACTTTTAAAAGAGCTGTCAGAAGCTGTATCATTGTCTTGTTACCATGAAGAGGCCCTTTGCCTCCCACTGAACAGTGGCACGGAAAAAAATTGAGGGACCACTTCCTGCTGTAACTGAGACAGAAGCATCTTTGCTGGATTTGTGGGTTGGGTGTCATGCCACAGAACTGGATCAATCCAAGAGCTCTACAGATGCTAGACAAGAAGAGAATGAGGAGAAAGGACTTTCCTACAGGTTCCTCCAACTGTATTTACTTTGCACTTGTCAGCACGTTCTACTTCTTACAATTAAGGTAGCTCTGGGAAGCCAAACACACACTAATAACCTGTCCAATTAAACAGACGCAGCTAGAATAAATCCTAGGACAACCAGTAAGGGCCATATACCTGATTCTGGATGATAACATAGAGACAGAAAAGGGATGTTTTTCAGAGAATATTACTTTCCCTGCAAATTCCACATGTTCTCTGCAGTGCAAAGAAATCTCTCAAGCTTGTCTGTTTACAGAAGCCCAGATCAGTGCAGGTTTCCTATTTGCTACATTGGTACATCTCTAAGATAAACATTACTGTCACTTCACTTCCCCCTTTCCCTGCAGACTGACCAAGATTCTCACAACTGACAATTTCTCCTATCACAACTCAATACTGCTGCCCTCGTTATCCAAATACACAACTCTCAACACAAAAGTACTAGTGTCTCACCAAAAATCTGAACATGCCACTCCCATGCGTACCTCTTATAATTACAGTGGAATAGACTTTTTTGGTTTTCTGTTTAAAGGTTTTTTAGTCAAAAAGAATCTCCCTTTGCCAGTTAACTTGTCCTCTAAAACCTTTTCTACCTTGCAGAGTAACACATTTCCTGGAATATTTAGCAGAGCACTCCAGGGGCACCGTACCCTGTATGCCAGACTTTTATCTGTTCCACAAGGTCTATTTTATACATGAGATTTGTTTTTTTTTGTGGTGGATTTGCACGCATCTGTTCCACTGGAACTGTCAAGACTAGCTGGGTGGAAGGAATTTCAAGAGTGCCTAATCCAATATTCTACACTGAGACAAAGTCAATTCTTCCTTAATACTGCTGACAGAAGTTTGACCAACCTCTTCTCAAATACTTTTAACAGAAGAGGTTCTGTAACCTCCCAGGTCTGTTCTAGTGTTATCCCACTCTAATAATAAAAGGGTTTTGTTTTAGTTGGCTTGTTTTTTAAATCTAAGTACCTTTGTTGAAAGGTGAATGGATGAGGTTGGTTCATCCATCACTGAGAAGCCATGGCGTACACCTGACCACCAAATCCAATCACTAAGAATGGAAGACCTAAAACTGACGTTCAGCAGTATCAAAAATTTCTACACAATACTTTACTGACTTAGAGCCATATAAAGGCTTCCTTCAAAGCAGTATACAATGGGCTAAGACATCTCTTAACAGTCTCCACCAATAATGGGGCTATCAGCATTTTCTACCAATTCAGCAACCACTAAACATGTGAAAAGTACAGTTTGAGAACCTCCTCCCAAAAAGCTGCTGCATAACTCTGAAACATATTTTGGGAATAAAGCTTAATCTCTTCTATACAAGTAAAACAATCTCTTCTATACAGATATTCCCTCCACACTGTCCCAAAATATTTCTTTCCCACTATAGACCCGGAAAACTTACCAAAGTGGGTTAAATTATATTTTCAAAATGTAGAATTAACTGCCATTGTGTCAGCTAATTAAAATGACTGTCATTGATTGACATCATTATCTCCAATCTCAAGCATACTTGCTTTTGAAATTTGCAGGTGCTATAACGATGACACAGGGTGTTTTCTGGTTTCCTGAACAATCACAGTATAATTATTTTTTTTAAATCTTCCAGTTTCATAGCACCTCTTTTAAATGCCTCCTCTTGCAAAGCTCAATTGGCTGTCGCAGCGGAAATCTACAAGTGCACTAATGACCCTCCAGCTGCTTCTGTTCCTATGGAGACAGACCTCAGGCTGTTAGAACAAGATCAGAGTTTTCAAATAACCACAGTTTTTTAATAGATATGCAAGCTGTAACCTTTGCCATCCAATTGGACAATTCTCTTTATAATGAACAGTTCTACAGGAACTTGAGGAAAGGTAAAGCAAAGCCACAAAAAATAAGGTGATTCTGTCATCTGAATGCATAGATTAGGTTTCTACACGCTTTTCATTGCTGATCTCTGTTGAGCAGTACTAGATACTAATTCTCCAGCAAACTAGAACGGTATATTTAATTTTTTAAAAATATTTTTGTGATGCATTTTAGATTTTGACAAAGTTTGTGAAAACTTAATTGTAATACATTCATGTTTACTACTTGCCAGGAAGATGGTAAATATCACCACTGTATGTATTGCTGCTTCTTGAAATTACTTAAGGGCTGACCTGGAAATAATTACTAGCATGAAGTTACGCTGTATACTAGGATAATGATATTTACTTAACAACTGAACAGTTCTTTCCCGTATAAATTGATAAAGCTGATTTGTTTCTATCATCTAACTGGAATAAAACATGAGAGAATCAATATTAACATAGTATGTCTTTTGTGACAAAGATTATCTATTTTATTATGACCCTGTGATGCTTCATTAGCATCTGTAGCTCCTGGTACGTATCACCTAAACAAACTTTTCAGAACATGCATCCAGCAGAGAAACCTTGCATTCTCACATGGGTTCATGATTTTGTTCTGTGAACTACAAAACAATTAAGAAATGGACAGCCTTATATATCTTTCCAAAGACAAAACTTCTCAAGATTTCTGTATCATCTTCAATTTTCCAGTACAATGACATTAGAAGCACATTATTGTTCAACTTTTCAGGAATAAAGGCAAATAGTAACTAAAAAAATACGTCAGGACAGGTGGTAAGTATCAGAAATTACAGAACATAAACTCTGAACCTGGTATGATTATAGCCATCAGCTATCTACTTGAAGTGAAATCCAAACTACAAGAAAGTTGTATGCCCCTGAGATAACTTCTCCTCTGTACTGTCTGAATTTCCTCTCTGTATGAAATATTAATAAAAAGGAATCACAACAAACAAGAGTCCATTTTTCATTTACATTACCTGTGCACAACTATTACATGCAGTAAACACACAACAAAGAGTAGACAATAGTCAAAGCATTAGAGAACTTGGCAATTTAGGGATCAAAAGCCATTTGTGGGTTTTAAAACACTGTGTCACTGGAATGCTTCACAAGTCAAAAAACCACAAACTGTAAATCCCACCATTCAATTTCCAGAGCTGGTGTACAGCACCGCCACTCCAGCACGTACATCAACTCACATACGAGAAAAGACACGACGTACTTCTGCAACATACGAACAAGCAGGTGGGAATAGTAACACCTTCTATGGGATTTGCTGTCAAAAATCAGGTTTCCCTGAAAATCCATCTATTTTGCTTTTTTTGTTTGTTTTGTGCTGAGTGCATATCCAGTCCAACATTGTGACCTCAGTGTATGTATCTGTTTACAGTTCTGCAATGCACCATGCTCCCCAGCTAACAATGGCATTTGACAGTGCAGCTTGAGCACCTGCAAGCAAATAAAACTGCTCTTTACAACTATATTTCTTTTCAACATGCCTACCCTGAATGTTGTTCTTCCCAACTTCTTTGCATCTCCTAGAGCTGACTATACACACATTTTTAAATTACAGGCCTTCACAAAGGAATTATTCAATCTAAAATAATTTCTTTAGTGCAAGAGGTCACAAAAGTGTCAAAATAACGAACGGCCCTTAAAGCACTGCAGGTATAATAATCTGGGGACATGGAGTGAATACTCTTTGTAGAAATTGAGCTGAATTTGATTAATTGTTGCTGAAGGAATTACCCAAAGTATTCTTCACTTAATATTATTTAAAAGTAACTTCCTCAATTTGAATGAGGTAAACTGGAGTTCAATAATATCCAACAGCCATGCTAAGACTCACCATTTCCAGATCTCCATCAGCAACTGCTCTTAGGAGTTTTTCTACCTATGTATGAAGAAAACAATTTATTTGCTTTGTTAGTATTGGTATTGAGCTGTACACAGAAAATTCTGTCCTTTACTATCCTCCTAATTAAGGATTACTGCTGGCCCATTTCATATTTGTTGATAAAGTTTTAAAGGAAAAACCTTCTTCCTTTATGCAATACAGAAGCTGTGCAAAGCCTGTGGCCATTTGATGAGCTCTGACTTGCTTAGTTAAACAGTACTTACCTAAATAGAGGACATGTAGTCCACACATTAACAAAGCCATGTAAGCTGATACACATTATTACGCTGCTTCAGCAGCAGCTGACCATGCATTTCTGTTGTTAACCTAACACTAAAAATCCCCACTCAAGACAATTGTCTACCCTGATAAACACTAGTACTGCTTGGACTCTTGCTGAGCTACTATGTGCTACCAAAAGCACAAAGGATGGCAGGTTTTATTTTGCTATTTGAGAAACTACACCTGAAGATGAAAAAGATGCTTTCCAGTTGTTCACATCTGCAGCTTACTGGTTTATTACTAAGTTAAAAACCGAACATTTACAAATCTAACTTGATTGTAAATATGAAATTTGTTTTCTTTCTTAAAATAAAAAGTAATGATACGAAAAGTAATTATATGAAAATATGAAATTATGTAAGTATCAAAAAAGATATAAGTGTTAGCAAAAGCCAGGTTTCTTCAACTCAGAGAGTTATACCAGGGGACCAGCATCAGACCAATTAAGTGTGTACATGCGCAGGCCAGCTAACGCCTGAGCACAACTGCTTGGTGTCGGTACTGTCCTGTCTATGAGCTCTGAATGGGGGAAGAGGCAAGCGAGGGGAAGAAGAGATGAAAGGTGCTCTGCAGTGCACTGATGCCATTCCCCTGATCCCTCCGATTGCTTGTGAAAGTAGGAGAATGAGATGTACTTGTTTCCTCACTTCTCCTCTGAGTCTCTACTCTCACATGAAGAAGTTGAGATCTAACCTGACAGAAATGGTACAGGTGCCAGCAAAAGGGCAGGGAGAGTCCATTAGTACCATCAAAAGGCAACTTGTCCAGCCTCTGCAGATTGTTGAAGAATCATTTAATTAACTTTGTGAAAGACTGTTTCAGCACTATAGCAAATTATTCTAGCACTGTGCCATCATCACCAAAGATGCTGCTCTGTAAACAAAGTTGTTTCAATATTAAGAAACATCTTGCAAGTTGAAGATGTCATGGAGTAACAGCTACAGTCACATTTCAATCCTTATCTAGAAATTACTATCTTGCTGAGTGTGGCAGCTGGTTTTGGTAAAGCAAACAAGGAAGAATGAGAGTAAAAGGAAGTTGTGTTTTACTGGTGTGATCTCTTTCTTCAGGGTTTTAGCAAAAGAACAGGACATATCTACAGGTGAAAGATCAGAGGACAGATTAAATCTCTCCATCCATTTTTATCTCTTTTTAGGAAAGCTGCTAAGTTTTATTTTATTACTACCTTTCTAATAAGCTGAACCTCCTTGAAGTCATGCATTATGCACTTTAGGCAGGATTCCTCGTCTAACTTTGAATGTTAAAAGTTAGCTGTCTAAATCTAAGCTAGTCCCTCTGATAACCGCAGAGCTCCCTTTCTAGTAACTACAGAACAGAATGGAGTCGACAAATGACACTTGAATGCAACTCAGGTCACACTAAGCATGCCTGACATTAATTCTTCTCTGGAGGTATCGATTTCTGTCCATTAAGGAGGGAAAATAGATATCTAAAGTTAAGACAATTGTCTTTCAGACATATGAAGTTAGGTAAGCCAAATCCCAATCACTACACGTATACATCTAAAATGGACTACATATACATCTAAAATGGACTACATATATATATTTAGGGAGAACTCTACCTGCCATAAATTTCCGCTAATCATACAAAATGATGTCACTGGAGAATATAAAGGTCTTGATTTTCAGGAGCCAGTCTTACCACATACAAGACGCCTAACAGTAATGGCAAGTGACCCACAAGCTCTGATAATTTATTTCCAAAAATAACAACTTCCTTACCGTCCTAAAACCTGCCTCAGGCCCTAGCAGTGGAGAAGCATACAACATCTGTTATGCAGCTTATAGATAATATATTAAGAGTACTTAGGGCAAAATGTCTGCTACATGCATTTCCCCTTCTTTCCAGTTTGTTTTCTCACTCCTCCATGGAACAGAAGTACCTTCCCTTAAATGTAAAAACAGATGAAACTAATCTAGTGCAATTCACTCACTTGCTCAGTTTCTCTGTTGATGAACAGAAATTGTGCAAGGAGTTACTAGTTTCAACAGAGGAAATTCCAAATTTACATGCCTGTCTCTTTTACTCTCTTTTCCAAGTTGTAAACAAGCCACATCCAAGACCTACACCATGACTGGTTCATTTAAGCAAAGAGTTTAATTCACCAGCTGTATCGATTAGTAAAGATCTAACTGCATCCCCTTATCCATGTTCTAAGCCTTGAAGTCTGGGAAACTGACCTTATCTGCTTCTCACTACTTCCAGTGGCATTCCCTTCGTAGAGCTGTCTCAGGATTAGGCCCTGGCCTCTTCGCTTGGTAAGAATAAGAGCAGTGAGCCCATGTGAAACTTGGCAACAGAAACGAACTAAAGCTGGATTACAGGACAGGGTCATTAACCCCAAGAATCTAAAATGTAAGCCGCTTGTAACCTTTTTCCCTGGTTTGAACTACAGCCTTAGCTCTTGGGTGTGATAAATTTGTTCCTTTAAGGAAAAATAAATCCTCAATCCATGAGATGAACTTTTACATACATTAGACGTTATTTAAAGTGCTTGACTCTCTACAAACAGGGAGGTACACTCCTACACTGAGGATCTCGTAGAGTAACCAATTATGTAGTGTGAAGTCATATTGTCCAGTCTAACTTTAAATCTTTGAGTTTCTTAAACATTTTTAGAAAACAGAAACTTTTGGCAAGAGAAGAACCTTTTAATAGCAGGAAAAGGAAGAATTTGAATGCAGAGGTGATATGGAGAGAAACAAAAATACTAAGGAGGTCAATTTGGAAAAAAATAGAACAGGAGGACTGGGGAAGAGAATAGAGAGAGAAGCATCAGGAGCACTGATAGGACAGTCTTAAGAGGGATAAATTGAAAGTATGGATATGAGGTCCCATGAGAAAAGATTAGGATGGCATCTTGGTTAGTGTGGACAGAGCAAAATGAGCAAACACGTACGTGCAAGATATTTAGTATATAGTGTATACTCCTTCACATGTTACAAAATTCATTTCTTATGACTATTCTGAAAGTTTGTCTTAACATTCTGGTTTGTTGTTTGCCAGTATGCCTGTACTAGTTTCTTTTCTCTGACAGATTTTGTAAGCTAACAATGGCATTTAATCCCTGGACAGGACAGCAAGGGCCTTGGGGCACTGACTGCCATTATAATTCTGTAAACCTCAACAGATTCTCAAATTATGGAGTTAACTGCAGTAAATCTGAACAACCAACTCAAAATACTCTTTGAATGTTTTCCTAAAATTAACCATCAGAGCAGCTGATATCATACAAAAATTACATGTTTAGATACTAAGATGACAAGCACCTGAGGATAGCAGCATTAAATGTTCCAAACCAGACAGAAGGCTATTCCTGAAGAAGCCATTTAAAACAGTATTGCAAAATACTCTTCTAGCTTCCTTCACTTTGCTTATTGTCAAACTTATACCTCAGTCTTACCTCTTTATAACTATTTTTTACTTCTTCTTGCCTTAAATCAGTTGATGCTGATGAGAGGCTTGAGACAGATGATCCTCTGCTGAAAGTTTCTGTTGAGCGTTGAGGAGACCTAAGCGGTGACTTAAGTTGGCAAAAAAAAAAACATAAAAAAGTTACCTATCAGATTAAGCAGGTTAAACATAGGCAAAAAAAAGTTCAGCAATGTGTACTGGTTGTTACCTCAGAAGCACTCTGTCCTCTTTCAAACGTAAGATAGTTTAATTCCATCAGTGACAAAATCTGCATAAAAATATTAATAGAGAACCAATGTAACTCCACTTAATGAGAAAATCTACTGACTGAAGCACAAATTAGCCAACAACCTAATATTAGTAACAGATTATGACTGAGCAGATTAAGAGTACCCATTTACAAGTTTATGTTCTATACCACAGACTGTATTCATGCTGTTAGATTTAAAATGTGACCCTCCTACCTTGAAGGCAAACATACATTTTGACTTTAATAGTACCATAGCACAAAATCCTATTAGCAGGTAAGCATCTACACCTCAGTGGAATGGCATCAGAAAGAAATCAGGCCCGAAGATAGGAGGAATACCTTGGAATTTAATGCACACTGTAGGGAAGTCTCTTTCATCCGGTTTTGAATTTCTGGATTTGCTCCATTTTGCAAAAGCACTTCTATGATCCCTTGATAGCCCCAACGAGCAGCTATATGGAGAGGAGTATCTCCCTTTTCATTACCAATGGAATGCACATCATAGTAGATTAAAGCTTTGACGCACTGGAAAGAAAAGGAAACCTATCAATAAATTACAGTATTGTCTCTCAATTGATATAACACATGCAATCCTAAAAAGGTTTTTTTCACTGCTGCACGTACATATAATCCATTGCCTAAAGAGCAGGCTTTTATGGTTCACTGTCATTAAACAAAGAGTTAAATAACTAAATTAGTACAATATTACTATCTTTAATGTGAATGCATAATAAAAATTGATGTGGACTACTGAATAAAGTCCTAATTTACAGTGTTAAATAGTTAGCCTCCAAATCTTCTTTATTTACTTTTTAAAATATAGAAGTTTAGTGCAAATTCACATCACAGCTCCATTCCATTAGAATGTCCATTTAGTTTGTTACAAAACAATTACTTACGTCCTCATGTCCATAAGTGCAGGCTAAATGAAGAGGAGTATTTCCATTATTGTCCTGAACATCAGTACTTGCCTTATAGTGCAATAAGAGAAGCTTAAAAGAAAAAACAGAAGCAGGCATTTAGGTACCTAAAAAATTAATGGACAAACAATTCTCACTCCACAGATTCCTTTAGGCTTCTAGCATGATGAAGCACTTAATGAAAAACTAGCTATGTCTCTCCTATTTCAGACACAACCCTCTTGACATTACAGTACTTTTTTTGCCCTACCTTAAGAACCAAATAAAAGCTGCTTCCTACATATTCAGAGTTGCCATTGAAAAAAAGAATCATCTACTGCAGCAAACACTGCAACACATATACTGCATGATAATTTATCCTAAGTGAAAGCAGCTTAACTTCAAGAACACTAACTGAAGAATCTCAACTATATAAAATACAAGTGCCCTGTAATTAGTGTAGTTACACAGTCTATCCTGAACGCAATGTAAACTCATTTAATTCATTCCAATGACTGCAATGGTTCTTCTGTCTTTATCAAGAACAGAGAGATATTAACAGGCTCTCCATTTGTACTATATATTAGAGATTTGTATTAATAAAATGGATCAATTATCAGGCATGCATAGCTGTCAACTGATTGATTATTACAAAGGGCTGAAAACCTTGCACCACAGGAAAAAACTACAAACTACAGTGATAAAAGACCCTCAATTCTGACAGCGCACACAGTTCTGGTAAAAGCTTCTCAAAAGACCCAAATGACAGTACTGCAGAATAGCCTAGTAAGAGTCATATATTTATTATTTAGGTTAAGTATTTCTTTTTATTTATAATTAAGCCTTTTGGTGCTTACTGTAACATTTTGATATCCCTTCTGACAGGCAAGGTGAAGTGGAGTTGAACCGTGGTAATCTGTAGCATTGACAGTGGCTCCTTTGGCTACTAGTAAATCCACTAATGACGTTTGCCCTTAAAAAATACGCAGACATTGAAAGAAATAAGTAAACTTTGCACAAGAACATTGCTACTTTTCAAATTCAAACGAGCTATAAACCAAGATACCCTGCATGTCTGCATACTACTTTTCTATATACTGTATATTCACTTCCTTGGTATTTGTTTTGGGTTTTTTTATGCAGATTACTCAAGGTCAAAGGTCCATAAAAGAACCTCCAGGTAAAAGCAAGCTGTGCTTGTATGTTGTGAGTAAGAAAAGAACAGAAAATAAAGCTATGTCACACAAAGGACTGTCCTATTGAGATTCAACATGACAATTTAAAAAGGTAATTATTAAAAAAACCCAACGTACTAAGAAAATTAATACATCTTCTAATAAATATAAGATCAATGGCATACTGAACATTACAAGACAGGAGATAGTACAGATCTGACATCCGTAGCCAGCTGCAGGAGAGAGAAGAGATGAATTTCTCAATCTGCTAGTTCTTTAAAACAAGACTAGTTTCTACTGACACATTTTTACTTTTTTCACAGCTGAAGAAAGAACTACTGTGGTAACCATTAAGGCAAAAGTAAACAGCCAGCAAACATAACTTCAGTCTGTGCCAAGATACTAATTTCCACAGCAAATAAGCAGAAAACAATTTAATGCAAAGTTCACTCTTCAATGCCAAGTCAGAAAAACATGCTAACATAAGGACAAGGAACATAAGGAACAGAAAACTCTAGTGAAGAAAACCAACCATACTCACCACAAATAGCAGCTATATGAAGTGGTGTATATCCCCGGTCATCTCGGGAAAACGGAGTGACAATGGAAGGATCATTCAGTTTCCTTTAAAACACAATGGTTTAAAAGCAGCTCAGTTACCTATGCAGCAGTGGTAAGAGGGAGAGAAAGAGAAAAATTGCCAAGGCCAACAAAAAATTAATTTTGGGACTTTTTATTCTTTATCATTTCACATTGACAAATTATTGTATACAGAATTTTACAATTTGTTAAGAGACGTGGTTTTGTCCAAGATGTGTAAGTTAGGTTCAAGAGAACATTTCACACTACGTTTACCAAAGGACATACAGTCTCCATCACAAAATTGACTGGGTCCAAGGCATTCAGCATTCTCCTAATATTTCTTCTGCTTCTTCAAACCACACAAACATAGACTCTCTACTACATCCTGAAGTGCTACCAACTTCCTCTACAACCAAAAGCAGCGTGCTTTCTAAAGTAAATCTTAGATGAAGACTTTCACGTAGCTTGTTGAGTGCTTGTGGAAATGAAAAGTGCTTACCCAGAAACTAGCTTCTCACATTTGTCACAGTAACAGAGCGGATGACACATTTTCTGTACAGTGTCCTTATCACTGTCACCTTGACTTAGTAATCGCTCCACTTCCTCCTGATTACCTGAAGCAATATGCTACAAAAAGCCAAGAGAAGAAAGAGAATGAGGAACCAATATAAAAGGTCTCCTTTTAAGAAAAAAAGAAAACCACCACACAAAAAATAGAGTAATTTACTGAAGCACAGAACAAATGGAACGGATTAAAAAAGACAGGAATTCAAGCATTAGAAAGCAGAAATGAACAATGTCATAGCACAAAACCTCCTAACGGGCATTTAGTATTAAAAAGAATCTGTTCTTGGCTTACTTCGCTATATATAAAAAATTAAAACAATTCCTATTGTTCTCTTTAGACTCAGCCACAAAATTGAGCTCCCTCTGTGCAAAAACATTTCTATAAAATCACTGAGCCTCTAACCATTAGCTGTGAATACATATAATTAGAAGCTCTGCTTTGTGTCCTTGTATAGGCAAAATTCTTTCAGAATGACAATATGAGATTAACATATAATATGAAGTAGCTATCAGGTGATCATATTTAAATTATTTCAGAAAACCCTTTCAATTTCAAGCACTAAAAGCTGTGAGAGACAACCGATAGTAATATCACATCTATGCATTAAATGGGCCAATCAATACCAACAGCAGTAGCATTTCATCCTCAGTTGCTTCCCTATTTCTTATATGTGCTGAAATATGTAAGATGACACTAACTTGGTAATGTTTCAGCACAGAAGTGTGCTAGATTCAAAACACACTTTTACCATCTACTAAAACACAGTTTGCAGTACTAATGTAACTAACACTGCATTACATTTCAGAAAATAACAGAAAGGAAGGGATATAAACATGTAATATGTAAGTACATACATATTCTGCCATAAAAGTTATTAACCTTAAATAAGCAGTCTATTGGAGTAGCAGACATCTGGGACAACAAGTTCATCCTTTGTCTTAAAAGCAGCTTGTCACAGAGGCTCTCAGATTCCTGAAAATAAAATATATAGATTAATTATCTGTATACTCATTTACAGATACTGTATACTCATTACCTTAACAGTGGAATTAACTTTCAAAAATATTAAACGCTGTATTTAGCACTTATGAATTATCAGACGCATATAAAACCCAAATCAGTTTCACACTTAGGACTTGAAAGACCGCACACCTGCTGTTCAAAAAATAATTAGCAGACATTCACCAGAATATTCCTTTACTGTAACTCTCCATGAATTAACTGAGCATTATGGTTGTACTACCTAAAAAAGTACACAGCGAAACTCGAAAAGACATGAAAAAGATAACAAGAACGATAAAAGGTGCAATGCAGCTTTCTTACAAGGAGAAATTAGGATTCTTCACTTGGGAAAAGATTTGACTGTGCGACAGCAATCTATAAAAATCACAAAAAGTCCAAAGAAAATATGTAAAGACTGAGTATCTGCTATTCCTCAAAATACAAGAGCTGGGATGTCCAACAAAATCATCACACATTAGGTCTGAGGAGGGAGTAGGGAGAAGAGAGAAAAGAAGAAAAACGTTCTCTTAGTGTAGAAATCATTGCCATAGGATGTTGCAAAAATCAAAAGTATAAATAGACTCAAAAAGGTATTAGACAAATTCAGGTAAGACATGTCTACTGGTGGCTATTAAAAAAGATGATGCAGCTACAACTCTGACTCAAAGACTCCACTGCACTCTCTGCTACTTGCTGGAAAATAAAAGATTGCACCACATTACTCTGTAGCAGACTCAGTCATACAGTGTTTCCTACTGCTCACTTCTTGAAAGTTGGAGATTGAGCTAAGCAGAGACATAGTGCAAATCTCAGAGCAGTACTTCCCATTTTCTGAGAAATCTGAAGACACACTTCAGGATGCACTAAAGAACATATCTGCTTCCAAAACCAGGTCAAAATTTTTAAGTAGAGTCAGATTTTGAAATGGCAATATTGAACCTCACGTGAAAGTACAATCTAAAGAAAACACTTTCTAAGAAAGTAGATGGAAACACTTGCACATAGTTAATTCTGATCAACTACTGCTTATGGTTAGCAGTGAATATCACTTCTTTGGATGTTATTTTTAGATAATGACTGTCTCCCTGGAAATGGAAAGACTCCCAGCATCCATCAAACTGAAGACTACTGCATTTAAGATAGATGCCCATGTATCAGACAAACTTTGATGGTTTAGGATCCAGGCTACAGGTTCTGCAACTAAGTCCATAAAGACCAGATATAAATGAGTAAAAGAAATCCAACTTAGCCCTCAACATCAGTAAGTCAGCATAAAGCGTAAGAAACTAGTGAACTGCAAATAGACAAGATCACTTGAACACCAAAAAAAAAAAAAAAAACACCACCAGAGTTCAAATTTTCTAGAAAAATCAATCTCTCAAGTTTCAAAATCAATACAGATACCTCTCATAAAGCTGTCTAAAACCACCTCCATTGTAAAGCAAATAACATTGTTAAAAACACATTTGTGCAGTCTAGAGATAAAAGTTCAGATCCGTACTTCACAGTAAATTGTTTGTATTTAGATACATAAAGACGACAAATATTCCATCTTTTCAAACCCAAGTACTTTAGCTAAAGATACTCAAGCATATCTTCTCAGAAGTACAAGGCACGTAACACTAGTCTCCTTGGATAGATTCTTCAGTGTGATGAGAAATAACTTCCCTAAGAAATATTTGATCAAAAATTTTATTAACTAGAAAAAAAATGTTAAAGTTTTACTGCTGATACAAGTTTCTAAGTCTAATATGAATGCTTACAGCTTTATACTTTTACTATGAAGAAAGTAAGCAAACACGAGCAAGACCTACTGTAGTCTTAGTACCATTCCTTCCACAGTGTATTTTACAAGAGAAGTGTTCCCCAAGTGGAATAATTATTTCAAAGAGTCACTTGAGACAGCAATGCTTACACAGAGCAATGCTTACTACAATCTTAGTTATACAAATCAGAAAAGAGAGTCCCTCTCAGGTGAAACCACCTATCTTCAAAAGTGAAATACAGAATGGCAGAAGAATCAGGTATGAGTTGAAATATTAAGCAAGGTTGGGCCTTCAAAGACAAAACTCACTTGTACCATATTTACTTGCACTCTAGGAATTTAAAAAGATGGCTTTGAGTGGGACTCGACTATTTTAAATCTGTATTTTCTAGAAAATACACATCCAAACATTAATGATTTTTATCCAACACTACTCTTTATGCCAGAGAACTGAAGCAGTTGTACCTGTGAGGGTTTACCTGTATGAGTGACTTTCACAGCTTACAACTGATGGCTTGGGGAAATTATCTCCACTCCCCCTAAACACTTCATTAGCCTCACTTTGTGTTCAAGCTTTCCTGTGCTTGGCTTCTCCCACCTGCACTTCCTCCCTACCACCTTCATTGCCAAGAACCAAAATGCTGCCTGTTCTCTATCAGCTGGCTCCAGCTCCCTGCTTGATACTTTGCATCAACTCTGAGCTAGAGGGTCTTACTACACAATGCTGTGCATACAAACATAATTAACACCCCACACTTATTAACTGGAATTATAATAAGGTTGAACAACTCACAGAAAATAAAATTGAACCTTTCATGCTATCAGTTACATACTCCTCTTCTCCCCACAACCAAAATGTCTCTCCAAGACTTGTATGACCTTGGGTGAAGGGATTTGGCAGGTGTTTCCTAAGTGCAATTTTCTTACTGACATGGGGGTGGTAGTATGCCCATTATCCCACAGGGTACATGATTTCCCTGCTGAGTTTTCTTTATGTAGTTGCTTCATTAGGGATTGGACAACAGCATTACTCAGCTGCCAGAAGCTCCATCTGAAGCGAGCTATAAAATTAAGTGTAGCCAGATGAGGGGTTGTAATTAAGCCCTAGGGCATAGCAATGTTCCTGCTCACTTAAACCCCATAACCCCTTCCAGCACAATCTGGAAAAGGAAACCACAGGGCATCAATGTGACAGCTGCTGCTGCTTTAAACAGAAAGTTGATCTTCTTTACCAGAGTATAAAGAAAATATCTCAACTGATAAGTTCATGAAGGGAGAGCAATGCTACCAGAAGTTCCTACCATGTTCCTCCACCTCCTCACTAGCCTTTTTCCCTTCCTGGCAAGGGGCTATTGGCTACCTAGTTTCTTCCTCTTCATTATGTGCCCACCTTCTTCTCCTTTACCCTACACTAGAGAAAAAAAGTGGTCTAGCTCTTTTTCAGCTGTGCTACAGGGCAGGGGCCACCCACTTCCTTGTCTTCAAGGTTCTGCTGTTTTCCATCTCAGGATGCCGCCTTCAAGTCATGTTGACTCCTATGAAAGGCAACGTAGAAGAAAGGAGTTCCTGTTGCACACTCACTGTACTCACACTGAAGTGAGAAAGTTAGAGGCTAGCACTCTAGGTCTGGAGCTGATCCAGCTGAGGTATGGACAGAAACACCTATTGCTTGCTCTTCTGTTGGTGGAGACACTAACACAAGTGGTGTGAGACTGCCCTCCTTTAGACTTCTCAAAGATGTAGTTTATCTTTGAAGACAGATGCCTCCCAAAGAAATAAATATAGTATCTTAATGGCAGTAGCCCTTAAGTTATAATCCCTTGAGGGCAAGCCCAGTATAAAAGACTGCTATCCTTAGTTATACAAGGAGGGATAGGACCAGACATTTAGTAGGAAACAGGTTTTATTCCAGAAATTTAGGAGTGGTATATTTTTTTCAGCTTGCTGGCATTGTTGTGGAAGACAATTCTACTTTGGCTGCAGTTCTCCATCCAGATCACCAGCATTGCTATTTGTATATTGTTTATGAAAGCCAAGTGACTGCAGGAAGCAAAACTGTTTGTCAAGTTGTTTTCCTTTTAAACTAACATTTTTATTATTTTTCTAAACATCATTCAATACAGCATTACAGACAAGAAATACCAGTCTCTTTACACAAAATAAGAGTGCTTTTTTTTTTTGGATCTTACAAAACAAACCTATGCATGACAGGTTCATGGAAAATCCCAGAAAAGAACAAAACCAAAACCCAAAAGGCTAAAATGTTACTTTAAGTGCTGCTTCTTTAAGATTGTGCCCAGGTTGTCCCATACCAAGCCCTGCACACTGAGCCATTATTCTGGCCCCTGCAATTAGATTCCAGTGCTTTCCAGTGGGGCAGACTGAGACACGTTGAATTCACTCTGGTTCCAAGTTCACTCCTTTTGAACTCCACATCAGATCAGGAAAACCTAATTTTGCAACAGTAAAAAGTTGTATAGGAGTGGTAAGACTAGATTCCTTTACTAAATAAGCTACACAGTTCTTAAATCATAGAAGTTTCTAAAGTTACATCAATATCATCCTTGATTGGCCTGAAGGGATTTGACCTGATTGACAGAAGGTCTAGTTGCTCTAGTTGCCCAGGAGGAAATAACTCATGCATCCACAAACTTCCTGCCCCTGCTGGGTTAGAAATTCTGAGAGCCAAATTTCACCTTCAAATATGCCCTTACTGTAGTCCTGCACTCCCACTAAACTATCCATTTGGTGCAACATAGTAATCTGCACTGCAAACACACAGAATTTTTAGAATACAAAGACGTACTGAATAATTCTAAATTACACTGCAATCTCCATTATACTAGCATATCTAAGCTTTTTAAAATTAAAGAAAAATCTGTTTAAGCTATGCCTGCTCTTAAGTACTGTCATGGTTGTGAAAGCAATGCAGAGGGCAAACAGGAGATATTAAACTTAAGACTCAGCTGTTGAAAAATAATGCTGTCATTTTTCCTCCAACCACATGAACAGACAGACTTGACATTTAATTACTTCAAGTATACAGTGAACAAGTATTGCTACAGGATTAGGACTTCATTGTAATCATTTAGATAATTTTAGCATTTGCTTCAGGTGTAGTTACCTCAACTCATTTCTCTAAATGCAAAAAAGGAATTCTTATGTTAGCTGTTAGTCTCCTCTGACTAGGTTTACTTCCAGTGATACACATTCCTACAAACTTGACAGACTTTAAGAGCAGCTTACTGTTGATCTGTCAGAGAGCTTGCCTTGTCGTATGTATTCTATTGCAGCCTCAATTGAGGTCAGACAGTATCCCAATTCATCCTTCACTGAACTGCAAAGCCTGAAGTTCTTTATGTAACTCAAGTTGGCCATCCTGAAATAAAAAGTTAAGCCATGAACCACAGACAATAAGACACTAGCATGACATATCTTAATACTGCAACTCATCTTAGGCAATCCAGGCAGACAATAGATGTGGTTTAAGAAAAAGCTTCTAGAAAGATCATTAGGCCACCAATACTACAGCTGTTCTGAGCTTTGTAGATAGATCAGAACTCTACTTATCTCTTAACTACTCATTGAATAGTTATTAATTGGATAAGGAATGTGAAAAACAGGACAAGGACAGCAGCAGGACACTGTCACACATTTCAAACACATTAATGTTTCAAGCACCGTAAGCACCAGTGTAAAGTGATAGCTACAAATTAATGGAAAAACGCTCATCTCTCAGATATGGGATACAACCACACTAAAATTCAGTTCGGGTAGGGGTGAAAGGTTTAGATACACTTTTACTGATAGTGAGGAGATAAACACAATAGCCTAGGCTAGCAGCAAGCAATTAAACATTAAAATCTAGTTTCTATATTAATGTATCAGACATCTAGAAGCTGCACACAGGTTTCATAGCTCCAAACGCAGATAAGGAGGGACCACTCTGCAACATCTGTATTGACATGAAGATTTGGTAGAGAGATGGTCTCCAATTACAACGTTTTTTCTAAGCTGGTAATCAAAACAGCACAGACACAGCACTTGAATTCCTGACAGGTCCTTAATTTGGTCACATCTGTAATACATCTTTGTTGTTTGTCCTACCAAAAATAGTTTTCAGCTTCTCTTACACTCTTAGCAAGTTATTACTACATATTCAGAAACATTTGCCCCTACAGCAGCATTACCTATAAGATAACATGGTGGAGCTCTGTATAACCAAAATATAGTTACATACCAGTTTGGGATTTCTGTTTTTACAAGTAAATACAGCAAAACAGATAGAAGATCATCTGCACACATGGTTTCCATGTTAACTAAAAAAGAATTTACATCTAATGTTAGTCATGTCATGGTACAAATCAAGAGCAATACCCATAAATGGAGTTCCACTTCTTAAGACTAAGGGCCAGCTCTACTAGTAGACAATGCATTGAGTAACCAAGGCAGACCTTCAAATGTTCTCAGTCTCCCTCTCAAATAAGCTGCCGCAAGCCAAAAACCAAATACAGTTCGTACTGTACAAACTGCAATATCTGTCTAGCATTCACTCCTTCTTATACAGAAAGAGTCAAGAGCACAAGCTCAAGAATTCTGAAATCCTTAAGGACAAGAACTACCCTCTACGCTGATACGCTTTTCCATAACCCAGGAGTCTTCCTGAAGAAAGGAAGAGATTAATTGGGGAAAGCATAAGCTCACTGTACTACTACATCTGCTTAGTGGAAGTATCTTCTCTCCCCAAGCTAGACAAAAATATCAGGTCAAGAGGTCCATGCTTTCCTACCACATAATCATTTCTGTAATCCATAGTAGCACTTCGAATGCAGCACATAGGTTTGTCCCCCACCAATGCCATACTTTGCAAAAGATACATCAAGAGTATCGATTTTGAGATTATCAAGGATCATGGACAAATAGACAAGAATGATATAGCAGTGATCCCCAGTGTTTAAAATGAATCACCCTCAATTCTTCTGTGTGAGAGTGTCCTAGCACATGCAACCTTCTCATATGCTCTAGCTAAAACATATACAAGCTAACTCAGTACCCCTCCTCACCCCACGAGAAACAATGCTGAAGTGCCTATCTTGCCCCCATCTTGCTTAGAGACCAAGGAAGATCCCAGTCTAATTGTGTTTAATTCACAAATGCTATTCAAACAGCTGTTTATATACGAAAGTGCTTTGTGTGTACTGGTTAATAAAAAAGTTTCAAATAAAGTTATTAACTCGCTAATTACTGACCTCTTTGGCTAGGAGATTGCATAATAATTTGTACCACTTTTCGTAGACAAAGTAGCTTCTGTTGAGGGGAAGTACATTTGTTCAACTGACCCAGTTCTCGCTTTGCACGTGGTATATTAAAACTATGAAATAATTTAAGAATGGTTAGCATACAGAGTTCCTGTGCAGGATGTGCAAACCTCAAGTTTTAACTTATTCAGAGATAAAAGGAAGAATGGTATTAAAATATTTCCATCTCTACTCCAAGTACACTTGCATTTCTGTACCCTGTAGATGGAGAGGGAAGCATAAAGAGGGAAGCATAAGACCATGAAAGCAAATGAGATAATCAATGCAAAGACTGCCTTAAAATGACATTTGCAAAGCTTTACTTTTTCATGTCAAAGGAAGAAAGAAAAACTTGCTATTGTCTTAAGGAAAACACTTTTTGGCTGCCCTAAGACCTATTTAAGACAATCTCAGTAACTCAAACAGTCCCCAATCATCTCTCACCTGAACTCAGGCTTCACTCCAATGTCCTTTTGCTGCAGATCTTGAAGGCTCCTCGTGATTTTGTTAAAAGCAGCATCCTAATCAATAGAAAGGTAAGTTTTTTAACATGCATAGATTAATGTAACTAATCTTTAGCAATCAAACAAGCTTACCTCACTTGCCTCAATAGTCCCCACATATTTGAAGACTAGATCATAAATAGCGTGGTGTATATACATCTGTAGAAAAAAAACCAGCACTTTAGGCATGAAAGAGAGTTAAAAATAGCTTTAATATCTTTCCTTCATTTCAGATGCTTACTTCAACTGCTTGTTTAATCAGATTCATCTGCTCTTCTTGTTTTGCAAGCATCTTCTAGAAAAGGAAAACCATACAAACAGCAAGAGAAAGTCAGATAGTAGAAAGTGTTACTTAAGCAGTAAACTATGTATTTAGTGGAGTGTTTACCAAGTGCGAATCTCTCAAAAGATGCTGGAGACATTTGGTATAAAGTGCATTGACAGAATCCTGCAGGGAGGAGAAAAGAAAAAGGCATTCAGATTCAGGTTAATCAGACTTGAAGCAACAAAGCATAAATAAGCAAAGAAAGGAAGTCCTCCCTGCCCTAGAAGTGTGCACTATGGTAAGACTTTTAGCTAGAGAAGTTGCCTTTACCTAATTAAGGTGTCATAACTCACAATTCTACTTTCTCCTTTCCCACCTTCCCCAACTCTGGACTACTGACACAGAAAAGCTCAGCAAGACAAAGATACCCAAAGCAGTTAATTACATTTAGTAAATTAAACATCAAGAAACAAGATACTAACTATGTAGTGGCGGAGGCTTTTCCTTTCATGTTCTTTAAATGTTCTATGGAAAGATCCTATGTATTTATCAAATCTCTCACAGTGCCTTCCCAAGAATTCTCTAACATCTTCAATATTTTTAAGAGAATAGGAACTTGATGAAGGTGTAGATTCACCTACAATGAAAGCCAAGAATTAACACATCAGTTTAAAATGTATGCATGGTAAAGTACTTTCTGTCCCTATAGACACAGCCAACTTGTGTGCAATGAAACATTAATTCCACTTACTACACTTTTAACTGAAGCTATTGCTTTAAATAAAAAAACCTAATGCACCACATTTAGAGTAGGATCTGTCACCTTTATGTCAAGTATTTATTTGTAATAGCTAAAACTTATTCCACATTATTTTTTACCCTGGGCTAATTTATTGCCACATACACAAATCAGAACCCGAGCGCAAGCTAGGCTTGAAAGCAGAAGAAAAGCACATTACTGTGATGATGAATGCCCATGCAGGAAGTCAGTGTGCTCTAAGGGAGCTGTAGAAATCCCATCTTGGATTTTTATATAAGCTATTCTTTATTTAGACATGCTTTCTCTGAATGGGAGAGCAAAGTTGCTTTATGTAAATATAAACCAAACCCACCTCCCTTCTGAATAAGACAATTGGATCTGTGACTTAAAATTCATATTGCTTTTCCAAAATTTTTTTCTAGGAAAGTCTTTCATTTGTAATAAAAGGCAGCCAACTAATAACAGGCTTAGATCTCATTCATTTCAAATTACTTTTGAAATTACAAATTACCTCACTTCTGAAAGACTGCTATATAACTACATTAAGCAATGGCCAAAACCAGAATGCCACAAGAATTTTTATAGATTTAGATTAATATTTATAGAATTTAAGCCTATATGTCTGCCAGCTATTTTTTCAGAACAACTTTCATACTTCCCTCCCAGTACTATTTTCACACTACCCTGGTATTACTTCACTTTGTCATCATTTGTTTCAAATAGATATTCTTATGTATTTAGGAAGACTGGATGTTTTTATTTCCGAAAAAGCGTATGTTTTAAGAAGCTTCTGTTCCTTTTAATTACTAAACAGATTGTTACACAAATTCACAAGGAAATCCGTTTACATTCACTGCTTTAATAGCAACCTTGGAAATAGTGTTCCAGCCTTATCAAGAGCACTTTCAGTACTAGGACAAATTAACACATTCAACTTAATGAGACAGACCACCACCAGAAGAACTGCTACATAACTGCTAGACAACTTCTAACCACTGATGAAGCGATCATGAAAAAAATTTACTTCTCCAGTTCTTTGTTCATCCACCTGTCATCTCAAGACATGTCACATTTAAGACTAAATACTATTCTGCAGTTGATCTTTAGTGCTGAGGCTGGGGCATAGACCCTACCAAATTACATTTTCCTGGAAGCAACTTACTACTTCTCTCCAGCAGCATACCAACATCCACCCCAGCACACTAATAAATGCCAAGAGCTTTCAACCAAGCCAACTTTTCTCAGAACGAAGGAAATGTATTAAGCATATCAAACATACTAATTCGCTCACTGTGCAAACCAGACCACCAAGCTAACACTTCAATACATACTTGAGCTTTCTGTTCTTTCCAGTGGATGAGCTATGCACAGTATACTAAAGCTTTCTTCTTTTTCATTGTAAAAAGTTTCCTCAAAAAGAACAGGTACTGAGATATGATCATTAAAACCAGTTCCTAAAATGATGAGGTTTCCTTGTATGAAGATCTCCTGAAACAAAATGAAAACCAGATCAAGTGTCAAACTCCACCAGAAGGAAGTTATTCTTTGGTTTCTGTATTGCATAGTTAGTTTTCCAGGGAAAGAAGATAATCTTCCAAGACAAGAAAGCCCCAGATTCAAGATATTTCATATTCTTGTGCGGCATAGGCATTGAAACAAAGACTTCTTCAGCCTACAATGGCTAGCTAAACCTTGCCAATACCCACTTTCTTTACAAGTCTACTAGAGGAGTTTTCAGACCATCTCCAAGGTCTAAATGACTATTTGCAGATTTTTAGAGCACTTTTATTAGAAGGGAAATTGGAAAACAATTTAGAATTAGAGCCTAAGTGCAACTTCAGAAAAAAAAACCACCACACATCTTGTCTACATTTCTCACACACAGGTTTATCTTCTCAAGCAGCTCCAATGAGGACATCCGCAGTAGGAAGATCTAGATGATAGCCTGAAAACAGCACAAGATTTCAGGCTGTACGGCAAAATTACAAGTGAAAGAAGGTGATCCTGTACAGGGCTAGCAGCTGTTATGTCTTGCTGCTACATTAGAATTAATACATCAGGCCTCAGCTACAACTCAATATCATCATGACTTTGTCTTAAGCCCTGGTGAACTTGTATCTGCATACAATAGAGGCAAGCTACTATTTGCCTGAAAGCTAGACACAGTTCTTAACTGAGTGATAAAGGCCCTTCTGCCACGTAAGAAAATTCCTAACAGCCACAAAACACAGATAAATTGACAAAGTTGCTTCACCAAAGCTGAAATCAGAGGCAGTGTCTGAACAGGACAACTATTCTTGTGTACATGCCAAAACACAGCTTTTGCTAGAAAGCAGTATATCCCCAAGAACTTAAGCTTAGATTGGCAACACGCTACTTTTGCCTGTAAGCTCTAATTCCTAGCTACCTCTCCTGTAACTATTAGTTCACACTACTAGTCATCAACCACAGTGAATCATTCGTTGGAGTGTCCCCAAGCTACACTCACATCAAAACAGAAATACCTTTCCATTTAAGGTCTGAAAGTTTTCTTCTAGCGGCTTCAGAACATAAGATTCGAACTGGCAGGTAGAAAGACTGTTGCTTGAAAGGCTTCCTTTGCATGGAACTAACACCTGAAAAAGTTAGATCATGTTTTAGAGAGAAATGCCGTGTATCACCAGCTGAACACCAATAGATTTTGTCCTTTAGAGGCAAGTGATTGAGTCTGGCCTATAAACATTTACTAGCAAATGCAAAGCAACTATAGGTGTTTGTTTAAATAAATAAAAAGGAAAGGCCATTGACAGTTTGCTGATTAACCTATAAGTTTAATTTAGTGACTTATCTGAAAAAGGATGACAGATGTAACAGAAGCAAAGAATACTAGGAGGAGATGAAATCTTAAGTTACTTAGCATCAGTCACCCAAATGACTTAAAAATTGGGCAGCTAATAAAAATGAAGTATGTTTTCAAACTAAAATTAAAATCCATCAGAAAGAAGAAAAAATCTGAAGTAAGAAACACTGGGTCTACTGAACACCAGATTGGCAGTTTGAGACAAATTCTTAATTAGAAGGCAACACATTATGAATACAGACTATACACTCTGAAAAGAAATACTTCTCATTGGCGAGGAAGAGAATCATGAAGCAAGTGGTTCTTGCAGTATTCAGAAGCTTTCAGAAATGGTGTTACAATACAGACAAAACTGGTGAGCAGATCTTAGCATTTCAGCTGATCATATCACCATCTTCAGTAATACACAATTGAAGGAAACCTGTCCAATTTACAGCTTACTTTTATAATCAGGTAACAATAACCTCTAAGTTTAATTTTGGATGAAGACTAGTTGCGTAATACCCAGATTAGAAGTCTTAAGGACAGGAGTTTCTATTTCAGCTCAGTTTAACAGCTTTATTTTGCTATGTAAAACACTGTCAGAAGTGAGCGATTGTCTGTCAATCAGGGAATTCAAAAGGTCAATCCCATTTTAAGTTATAAGCAAATGGGAAAACGTAACTTTAGTTCACAGCAAGAAAATAAGCTTCCTATGAAGTTTAGAAGGTCACCAACTGTGACCTTTTTCTACCATGCGGCATATTAAGAGGTCTGTATCAGTAAATAACAAGCAACTTAAAGTTACTTTGCTTCACCTCCAAGTTCCATAGGCTTGCACTAGTCTTTACATGTGCCATAGTAAGCATATGATTTAAATTAATCTAGATACTATAAGAGGCTTGTAAATATACTTATTTATACTTACAATACCATGGAGTTCTGCAACTTTGCTGCATAGATCAGGATGCCGCTTCTGAATGGCCAAATAAAAGGGATTTTTCAAGATATCTTCATCATACATAGCCATATGGACTTCAGATATTCCAAGGAGATTTTCTAAAATGCATATGGAAAATGGTTAACGTAGCACACACAGTATCTGTTAAAACATATTTGGGAATACCTATGGGGCAGATTGATCCCCCTTGTCTAAAAGAAAAAAGCAGTTTCAGGTCTTGATGTAAGCAGTCAATGGCATGCTTAACTAAAAAGGTAACTATAGTTACTCAGAAGATATTCAGAAAGACTATCTTCCATTAATATACATTTCCAATTACATAGTTATCCTCATAACTTCTCCTTAGACCTTTCAGGTGTTAGAGTCTAACACATTACATGTTCAGACAAAACTTAAGAGAAGAAAAAAGAAGATCTACATTATTAAAGCTAACTTTCACTGCTAAGATCTAAAACAAGCCAAGAGACAAATTAACAGCTGCTTTACAACAGATCCTATTGCATCACAGGACATTGATGCTTTTGCAGTACGCACGTGTAAGTCCTAAGACTCACCTGTTTAAGGATTACTGCCTGACACACACCAATGAGACAACCAGACAGTGTAACAGGAACCCTTGTGCCAGACAACCCTCAACTTTCCAGGGAAAGTTACAGGAAAGAGGTACACCAAGAAGATATGACTATCCATGTCGTAATTAAAAAGCCACTGAAATGTATCATGTGGTCATCTCTATTCCCATGGAGAAGTCTCAACGATCTTAGGTCAGGCTGTGCATAACATTCGGCAAAACAGTGAGAAAGTGACTGTAAAGAAAACCCAACCTGGAGGCATTGGGAAAGCTATTACTACGTGTCACAGGGAAAATATGATCTCTAGAGGCACTAGACCCTCAACTGCTTGCTTCCTCTATTCTAATTCTTTGTTAAAAACTGACACAGCCTAGATACAAGGGCAGGAAAAACCCTAATAGATCCCTTCTGGAATAGCTTCAGAATTATTTTATTCAGAAGAATTGAGATTAACATGCTTACAAGTGTTTAGTTAACTAGTCTGTTCTATGTCTTTTCCCCTCATCCAGCTTCCCTTAGGAATCAACAGAATTTCAGCTACATGTCCTAGGAAAGGGTGAGAAGAGGTGCAGAGCTTTAATTTGAGCAAGCCACCCTTACACAGTCCAGTATTCCCCTGTTTTCTTAATGCAGCATTACACCTAGCACATCATTTGCTCAGTGTCAGCTCCTTATGCTTGTTCTGTAGCACTTTTATCTTACTATCCAAAGCTGTACTGGCACTAAAAAATGCTTCTCTGTAGATCATGGAAGAGACATGAAACCATTGTATAGCAGAGTGGAAAAACAAACCCAACTCCCACAGATTTTTAGATAGCCTTTGAGGTTCAGCCATGCTGTTAACTGATCTATAGTCTGTTAACTGATCTCTAGTCCGATTCCTCCTTATAATTAGGCACAACAAAGCTTCCTTAAAGAGCTAAACACAAACACAATCAGCTAAAGCTGCAAGCAATTTCCACTATGAAGTTATCACCAGTTATTTACAGCTTGGGCAACCTCAGCTTGAACCACGAGGTCTGGCAGCAGCAGATAACTGCCTCAAGCAGAGTTTTCCTGTGAAACTCCAGATAAAACAGTTCATTTTGCTTTCAAAACACACAATAAAACTAAAAGCTTCCATGAAAGAATACTAATTCAGCACTCCCAAAGCAGTGTTCTTTGGAGCACAGCTCTGAAGTTTGCCAACACAAAGGGGAAGAAAATGTTTGCTCATTGACACCTTCAACAGACTGGGCAGGTTCAGTAATTACGAGACTTCCAACCTAGAAAAAGTACAGCTCTGCACAAGACCCGTCCTACCACAGTGCCTGGGTAAACAGGATGATCACCAGTAATTCCACAGTTGATAATTGCTATAAACATTTCCCGGCAGGCAGCTGCAACTCAAGTTCAAGCTGTTGGCTTCCTCAGGCAGCGGTGGGGGAAGGAGAAAAGGCAACAGGAGCCCAGGGACAGGTCTGCTGCATGAACACAGATCTCATCACTGATCCTTAGAACCTCAGAGCTAAGACAGACCAGAAGCAGGACTAGTAAACTACAAAAAAAACCCTTGCCTGTTGAAGAGCTGGCTAGGGCCACAGTTCCAAGGAAGATCATCATAAATGACCACAGCTTACAGTCCAAACATGAATCAGCGACAATTTATTATACATAAGTCAAGCACCAAGCAGGGCTGTATGTACACACATGGGCAGCCTGCAAAACAGTCTGCAATGGCAAGACTTATTTTGAGTGCTACATCCTTTTTTGGGTGCTGCACTCCAGAGGAGATGAACTGACTGGAAGAGAATCTGAAGTGAGAAAGTCCAGAATGCCCTGGAAACAGGATCCAAAACACAAAATGCAGTGATGTTGCTTAAGCCAAAAGAAACTGCATGAAACAGGTAAGAGTTTCCCCCCCCCCCACCAGGTGGATCAAGCTCTCAGTAAAGGGCATTTTTTCCACATCTGTAGAAGAAATAGGCCCCAGCTGAATCAAACAGACTCAGGTTACAGATCAGGAACACCTTTCAAAAGAGAAGATACACACATGTTTTAGATTGCTCAGCAAAGCTATCAAGTATCTCATGTTGTACCCCTATAAGAACCTGTTTGACAAACCTCTATGAGAGGTGATAATGGACACAGTGAAGCTAGGAGGCTAGATTATATATGGTCTCTCAAGGCACTTTCCAAAACAAGCTTTTATTAATGTAGTTGGCCCACTGAGGCATCTTCACCTGCCTTTTTATTTGGTGAACTCACATTCAGTATCCAGTCAAGTGGCAAGTCAAGTGAGACTGCAGAGACAAAACTGCAGTACGCAAGTGTTTCCCATTACTACAGCCGTATTGCCACCTTCTCAGATTAATGAGTCTTTAAGTCCAAAGAGCTCTTCCCATAACAGCAAGGGGCAGAGAAGAACACATTCCACAAATCCTTCTCATCTAGAAACCTATATCTCATCACAAACTGATAAGCTTTGTCTAGAAAGGAATTAAAAATATTTAACTCCCTGGCAAAAAAGGTGGAAGAGATTTATGGGAGAAGGGGAGCTCCCACGGAAAACCTGAGTTTACGAAGCCTGCTGTCTATACATCTGATGTAGCTCTTAAATCATTGTCCACATCTGAAGAAAAACCACAAGCAACCAGAGTACTTTAAGAATCATTTCAGTTGACAGATCATCACCAGAAGAGCTTGAAATTATACCCTTCAGTTCCTGGTTCAAGAGTTACACATCACAAATAACTAGTTTTAAAACACTTAGTGGCAGCCACATAGATTCTTTTCCTACAGAAATACTGACAGGGTTGAATCACACTTGAAAGCTCTAGCAAGATGTAAAAAGAAACTGCATTCAGACATTGAATTCTGGCATTTCAGCTACTGTAATGCAACTAAGATGCCATCAATGTGCTGTACCCCAAGAAGGAAGCTAACACTTCCAGCTCACACAAGTATTTGTCACCCACCGTAAGCAGAAGCAGACTGCAAACTCTGAACTGCTCACCTCGTGCATGTTCCCACACAGCAGGAAATAACCACGACTGGCCAAATGAGTACTGTTTTGAAAATCACAATTCTGAATTTCCTTCCCTCTTCTAACACCTGCATTTGCTAGTGCTACATTAGTAAATACACATATTTTAATCAGATATGATAGCTACGAAGAAAGGCTGGAATATTTATTAACTGAAACAGTTAAGTTACTATGTTCACTCAGACCTCCTTCACCTAACCACAGCATTCTTCAGAGAGACAAACTGTAGATGGTTTATACACCCACACTTCTAAGTAATTACAGAAAAACAAAGGACTTAAAGGACTTGAAATAGATTAAGTCTACAGAATCAAGAGAGTACATTAAAGCTTTCCCAACTTTTCGCTCAGGCATTTCTGAGATTAAGTCAATTTCTTTCCACCCTAAAAGTTAAATACATCTGAAAACACTGGCTAATGCATTGCTGTAATTCTAGAAATGCATTAGAATACTCTGGTGAGAGTTTTTTGGCAGATCCAGTTTTTGGCAGAACACAACATCCAACTTCAACCTAATTTAACTGGGGGGGGCCAAGGGGGATACAGACTTACTCTTCTAGCTGCCCTTTGGACAGCTTTAGATTTACCAACACCAAGAAAGCAGGAAATGTACAAAGCATTATATACATTACCAGAACTGTTTAATGCTTAACAGAAAGCCCACTAAAAATTGTCATAAGCCATATTCACTATGAAGCGTATTAAATTCTATCATGCTGAGCTGTAAAGCAATACACAAGTACTAACATTACATAAAAAGTTTAAAAGGAATCACTTCAGTGTAGCTTCGTGCCTATGAACACAAAAATAGTTCAAATTGCTGGAAGAACAGAAGCTAGCTGATCAGAAAATCTATAAGCATTATGTTACTGTTTTTTAAAACATAATCATAACCTCAAAACAGCCAAATCCTTCCTAGATTAAGATCAGGGACAGCTCTAATGATACAACTAATGGTACAAGGGATAGATAGCTAAAGCAAAAAGCATACCATGGAATCTAAGCAGGTCACTGTTTTCTCCAAAACACTGGAAGTCTTATGACTTTTGGTATTGAAAACAATGAGCAGGATTTAACTATGCCAGTTTGTCATTGTTGGTGTTTTCCTTTAGAGATGGTCAAGTGAGGTACCTTTTCCAGACCTATCAGTTCCTTTTAAGAAGCATTTTGAAATTTAGCCAAGCAGCCATTAAAGTAGATGCCATTGTATTTGCATTGTTACTTGGCAGTTACATCATGTCCACATTCAAGTTACACAATTATTTATTCAATTCTTTGGCACATCATCTTCTTGCTATACCACTATTAAAGACCTAACAAAACACACTGCAGAGAAAATGCCTTTCACATCAGAATTACAGATTCTCTATCCACACTCTTCCTACTCAGTGTTGAAGAGTATAAGATTCTGCCTTTTCACTAAGGCATTTTAATACTACTCTGGCAGAACAAAGACAGTAAAACAGCTACCAAAGTTTGTAAAAATTATTAGCCTA